ACCGATAACGAAGCCGGGTCAGAACAGGGTGTGGGATCAGAAAGGGGTCTGGGAGGATGAAGGGTTTCACTGGGCAAAGACTCCATAATAAAGGTGATTCTTCTGTGATATCTCGTTTCTTGTTATTTTAAGAAAAAAAGAAAGAAGGAAAGAAAAAAAAAGTGACAGCGGGGGGAGAGTTGCTAGGAGGCATGGAGGGGCTGAAAGCTCCTCCCCTCATCCAAGAGGGCCTCGAGCCCACTGGTAGTGAAGATGCAGCATGGAACCCGTGCCATACCCTACCCTTCATGCCAGTAAACCAGTGCTCCGGAATAGCAGCCTCACATCTACTGAGCTACCTCGGCAGACAAAAGAAAGGGCGGTCAGAAACCCGCCACAAAGCATACCTCCTTCGGTCACCACCTCCCAGAACCGACAGGCAGCTTCTGGAGATACACCCATTAACCGAAGGACACCCCGCCCACTTCCCGGAAATCCAGGAAGGGAGCAGGGCACCTTCAGACAATTCAGATTCCCCGGCAAACTACACCACCCCCAAGGGACCTTATGGAGCGGAACAAACCCCGACAAGCCACCCCTTACCTAGAAACTGTAATGCCTGAGACTAGGACCCCAGAGGCTAATTGGGACAGGAAACAAGGGGAGGGTGGGGAGAGGGGAGGAAAGAGGAAAAAGGGGGGTATGGGGAGGGTGGGGTAGGGAAGGGAGGGTTGGGAGGTACTTAGACTCAGTCTGAGGAAGGAGACCAAAGGATTTGATTCCCGAAACCAAGAGCCTCTTCACCGTGGCAAGGAGCTCCCCTTGAAGAGGATCCCACTTAGGACTGAGATTAAAATTAAGGACAGTCAAAATATTCATTAAAATTAAAATTATAAAGACAAGTTAGAAATAGTAGTTTTTTACATTACAACAGATGATTAGATGTAAATTTTATGATTATTCAATAAAATTAATATTTTAATTGACAAGTTATAAAGAAAAGAGTGGTAGTTTTTGAACTTACAATAAAAGATTGGTTTCAGAGCTTCAGACTTTACTGTGTTATCCTAAGTTAATTTACACAAGACAACTGTAAAATATTTGAAGGTAACTTGAATGTGAATAAAAACTTACATTTACTTAACTTACTTATACATCTGCAGTACAGTGTTCACTTTATAATTTTATTTGAACTAGTCATATACAGTGCATATAGGCATAAAATGAAGATATGTAGCAATATTTGTCATATTATTTGCTGCTTTTGTTTATGTTTGTACTATTATCTATAGTGCCCCGTGGCCTGGTGGCAAAAGCTCTCGCTTCACACAGTGAGGGTCCAGGTTCGATTCCCAGCAATGGGGTGGAAACATTGGACATGTTTCCTTACACCAGTTGGCTTTGTTCACCCATCAGTAAAATGGGTACCTGGGTGTTAGTTGACTGGTGTGGGTTGCATCCTATGAAACAACTGACCTAATTTGCCCAAAATGATCTACATAAGAAGTAGCTTTCTATATAGTAGTACACTGGAACCTCAAATATCGAACAGCTCCCAACTCAACCAATTATGTAAATGTATTTTTGTAAGTTTTTATAAGTGTATTTTTAAGGGTCTGAAATGAATTAATCTAATTTACATTATTCCTGATGGGAATAAATTCATTCAATAATGGCACTCGAACAGCCGTCTGGAACGAAGAAAGTTCAATATCTGAGGTTCCACTGTATGTAATTGATGTCAGCTAGGGCTGTATACCTTGTACATGTAGTAAATAAAGATATTATTTTATTATTATTATTATTATCATCACCCCAATCCATAAAGGAGACCACACAGACTTGAATAACTATAGGCCAATATCCAACTTACACCCTCTCTCTAAAATCTTTGAAATATTAATCCATAAGCGTATCTATTCCTACCTCATCTCCCACAACATACTCAACCCCTGTAAATTTGGGTTCAGGCCTAATAAAAATACTAATGATGCTATTATCCACATGCTAGAACATATTTATACAGCAATAGAGAAAAAAGAAGTCCCACTGGGGATCTTCATTGACTTACGTAAAGCTTTCGATACAGTTGACAATGATTTGCTCCACATAAAATTGTCGCACTATGGTATAAGAGGGCACTCCCTCAACTACCTAAAGTCACACCTCAGCAACAGAAGCCAATATGTGCACACATATGGGGCAAACTCTTCCGCACAGCCAATTACAGTTGGTGTCCCACAGGGAAGTGTCCTAGGCCCTCTTCTCTTTCTCATATACATAAATGACCTACCAAATGCATCACAACTACTCAAACCCACACTATTTGCAGATGACACTACATACGTCTACTCTCACCCGAGCCCAGTCATGCTAGCCAATGCTCTAAATACCAAATTACAGAAAATATCAACCTGGATGAGGACCAACAAACTTACTCTAAACATTGACAAAACCTACTACATTCAGTTTGGTAACAGAGTTGCAGATGTGTCTCTTAACATAATGATAAATGGATCACCTATCACAAAATTCACAGAGGGAAAATTCTTAGGAATCCACCTTGATAATAGACTCAAATTTCAAACACATATACAACAAATTTCCAAAAAAATTTCCAAGACCGTAGGCATACTATCGAAGATATGGTACTATGTTCTACAGTCAGCCCTCCTGGCCCTATATCACTCACTTATTTACCCCTATCTCACCTGTGGAATTTGTGCATCGGGCTCAACAACAATAAACCATCTCAGACCACTAATCACCCAACAAAAGGCTGCAGTCAGAATGATAACAAATTCACACTACAGACAGAACACCCCACCAACATTCAAAACTCTAAACCTACTCACAATACAAAACATCCATACTTATTACTGCACCTATTACATACATAGAACACTTAACTCTGACATAAACCCTCCCCTCAAACATCTTACCAACCTCAACAGAACACATGACCATAACACAAGGCACAGATCACTCCTTGATGTTCCTCGTGTCCATCTCATGCTATGCAAAAACTCAATGCACATAAAAGGCCCTAAAATCTGGAATTCATTACCTGTGAATATAAAAGAAACACTGTCTGTTTATAAATTCAAGTCTCTTCTCAAAAATCACTTACTCACCCACAACTAAATAAATACTGAATAATTGTATCTCATAAATTGTATCTCATATATGTATCTCATTATTGTATCTCATAAATGTCAACCTGTGACCCAATCAAACTTTGTTACTATTTAACTTCATTACCTGACAGAATACTCCATTCTACTGATTACACAGCAACACAGTAAATAACCATATGACTGTCTTTGTAATACTTATTTGTACTAAATTGTTATCTGTTTTACAATAATTTTTGTACCACTGAATATATCATTGCTTAGTTAATCTTAAGTTAATTTTAAGCCTGCCCATAATACTCTGCATACAAGGGGCTTTGGCATGCTGCACTTTAAAAATTGTATTCCTTGTACTTCTCTGTATCATGTTCAGATTAATAAATAAATAAATAAATAATTTATTATTAATAAAACATTTAGACAGCACGTACTGTATATGCATTTATCCAAGATACACAACATAAAGGCATCAATGAACACATAATATTATTTGACACTGTTGGCTTAAAATAGATTAAGTCTTATGATGTGTCATCATTGTATGCCTATAATTTTATGTAGGTTTTTACATAAAAAAACATTGGTCTTGAGAGTACATATGCAGTACAGGCTCTGTTATATAGTACAGTGGACCCCCGACTTACGATGGCCTCAACCTACGATAAAACTGACTTACGATGTTTGTCAGTGTAAAAATTTGACCCCGACCTACGTTGAAAAGCTCGACTTACATCATTCGTCCTGAACACGGCTGTCTGGTCCATCTGGCCTGAGCGCCTCAGCTGAGCTGGTGTGACATTGTTTACAAGCCAGGGCGGACGGTTGCACGTATACATTCAATAAATTTTGTATTATTCCAGTGTTTTTAGTGCTTGTAACTGCTAAATAAGCCACCATGGACTTATCGAGAATACCGAGAAACAATTAACCCCAGAGGGTTAGCCACCCAGGATAACCCAGGAAAGTCAGTGTGTCATCGAGGACTGTCTAACTTATTTCCATTGGGGTCCTTAATCTTGTCCCCCCAGGATGCTACCCACACCAGTCAACTAACACCCAGGGGAACAGGAAAAAATGCCTGGAACTAGAGCTCATATTGGTGAATTTAAGGCCAGCAAAGGTTGGTTTGAGAGATTTAAGAATCGAAGTGATAAGGCCTGTTCTGGAAGAAAATGCCAAACAAGACCTATATTACTCAGGAGGAAAAGGCACTCCCAGGACACAAACAGTGTCTCATCACTCATCACCACATCTTCAATAAAATTAAGTGTCATTTATTCTTCATTTAGTACACATGCACAATATATATTGTGCATGTACTACTCTACTATTGTGCATGTATTCTTCTTTTTGTGCATAGGAAAATGTATATTTCATGTGATAAAATTTTTTTTTTCATACTTTTGGGTGTCTTGAACGGATTAATTTGATTTCCATTATTTCTTATGGGAAAAATTAATTCGACTTACGATAATTTCATCTTATGATGTGCTCTCTGGAACGAATTAATATATTAAGTCAGGGATCCACTGTACAGTGGACCCTCAGGTAATGATGCCATAGGATAGCGATAAAATCGGATACTGATGCGTCTTTGCGTAAAAATATTCGCTCGGCCAACGATGAAAAACTCGGTTAAGGACATTCGTCCTGAACATGCCCGCATGGTTTGGGCTACCCACAGCTGCCCGGCCACTATATAGTAAAGTGTGCCATTGTTTACAAGCCACTGCGGACGGTTCCACGCATACATGTGATACATTGTGTATTATTCCTTTGTTTTTAGTGCTTGTAACTGCTAAATAAGCCACCATGGGTCCAAAGAAAGCTTCTAGTGCCAACCCTGTGGTAAAATGGGTGAGAAATACTATCAAAATACTATCGTACCATGGTCAGCTGCTGCTGCACCACCGTCAGCTGTTGCTGCACCACCATCAGCTGCTGCTGTACCACTGTCAGCTACTGCTGCACCACCATCAACTGTTGCTGCACCACCATCAGCTGCTGCTGCACCACCGTCAGCTGTACTACTCGAAGATGTGGAGAGACTGCTGTTGGTGTGGCTTAACGAGAAACAATTACCGAGAAACAATTAACCCCAGAGGGTTAGCCACACAGGATAACCCAAGAAAGTCAGTGTGTCATTGAGGACTGTCTAACCTATTTCCATTGGGGTCCTTAATCTTGTCCCCCAGGATGCGACCCACACCAGTCGACTAACACCCAGGTGAACAGGAAAAAATGCCTGGAACTAGTGCTCATATTGGTGAATTTAAGGCCAGCAAAGGTTGGTTTGAGAGATTTAAGAATCGTAGTGGCATACACAGGGTGATAAGGCATGGCGAAGCTGAAAAATTCCAACCCCAACAAGTGCTCAATTGTGACAAAACAGGCCTGTTCTGGAATAAAATGCCAAACAGGACCTACATTATTCAGGAGGACACAAGCCTATGAAAGACAGGCTAACTCTCATGTTTTGTTGTAATGCTAGTGGGGATTGCAAAGTGAAGCCTTTACTCATGTATCACTCTGAAAATCCCAGAGTGTTCAAGAAAAACAGTGTCTCATCACTCAACAATACTCTTCAATAAAGGTAAGTGTCATTTTAGTATTTATTTATGTATTCATTCTGCATGTCTCATTGTTTTCTGTGTAGCGAAATGTACATTTCATGTAAAAAAAAATTTTTTTTAACACTTTTGGGTGTCTGGAGCGGATTATTGATACTGGAGTTCTGCAGGGAAGTGTCCTTGGTCCCCTGCTCTTCCTCATTTACATCAATGATCTTCCAAACATATCCCAACACCTGAAACCCATTCTCTTTGCTGATGACACGACTTATGTCATCTCTCACCCTAATCTTGCCACCCTCAACACCATTGTTAATGAGGAGCTGCTCAAAATATCAACTTGGATGACAGCCAATAAATTTACACTTGACACTGACAAAACCTACTATATTATGTTTGGTAGCAGAGCAGGTGCTGCACAACTAAACATTAAGATCGACAGCACTCTAATTGCCAGACATAATGAGGGCAAATTCCTAGGCCCATACCTCAACAACAACCTGAATTTCAGCACCCATATCCAACATATATCAAAAAAAGTATCCAAAACAGTTGGGATCCTCTCCAAGATACTATACTACGTGCCACAAAATGCCCTTCTCACACTATACCATTCACTCATTTATCCATACCTCACCTATGCTATTTGTGCTTGGGGATCAACTGCAGCAACACATCTAAAGCCAATAATAACTCAACAAAAAGCTGCAATAAGAATAATCACTAAATCCCATCCCTGGCAACACCTTCCCCCCCACTCTTCATAGATCTAAACTTACTCCCTGTTCAGAACATCCACACTTACTACTGTGCAATCTACATATACAGGACCTTAAATTCCAATATTAACCTTGACCTAAAATGCTTTCTTGATAGTTGTGACAGGACCCACAAGCATAACACCAGATACAAACATCTCTACGACATTCCCCATGTCCGACTAAACCTTTACAAAAATTCAATGTATGTCAAAGGCCCTAAAATCTGGAACACCCTACCTGAAAACTCTAGAACTGCAGACACATTCATCACCTTCAAAACTACCATTAGAAAACATCTTATCTCCCTGATACACCCCGTCAACTAACTACATAAAAACCACCTGGTGGTTCACACTTACACTCACTCACTCACCCATTTGACTATAAGCACAGAAATAATGATTCCTAACTAGTCACAAGTTTGCCTGTGATACTCCAATATAGAAACTATGTATTGTGCCATAACAAAAGCATCCACATTGCTAAACTCACGAACTAGTATTTAGTTACTTAGTATTTAGTCACTTAGTATTTAGTCAACTTACTCCATAATTTGTAATAATTTAGGGTTAAGAATTAATCAAAGTTTGCCCGAAATGCCTAGCCATGCTAGGTGTTCTAGTGGCCCCTCTGTAATTAGTATTTTATTACATATAAACCACACAGTAACTAAAACTGTAAACCCCGCATTGTAATCCTTATCGAGAATAAACTTTGATTTGATTTGATATGGGGAAAATTAATTCGGCTAACGATAAAATCAGTTCAGGACAAGCTCTCTGGAAAGGATTAAAATTGCTACCTGAGGGTCCACACTACATAATGTTAGCCTATAATGCAATAAATTTAAAACACTCTATAAGTAAAAGCACAAGCAGAATGAACTTAAACAAAACAATCACTGATATCCATGGAAGTCCAGCAGATGGAAAGACTTAACTAATGCCACTGGTGACAAAGGAGAAAGATTTATTTATTTAGGTACAGGTGCACATAAGTACAGTTACACAAATTTTTTCAACAATTATCATACATAGAAAAATGAGTAAATTATCTAGCCTAATGCAAAAAAGTAAGACAAAGTGACTCGTTTTCACTGGGGTCCTTAAGAGACAATATTCTGTTTGGATTTTTAACCCTTGAAGGTTAGCCACTCAGGATAACTGAAGAAAGAAAGTGTCATCAAGGACTATCTTATTTCCATTGGGGTCCTCAATCTGGTCCCCCAGGATGTGCCCTGGAGAGGGTTTTGGGGGTCAACACCTCTGCTACCCGGTCTGTGGCCAGGCCTCATGGTGGATCAAGGCCTGATCAACCAGGCTGTTACTGTTGGCCGCACATAAACTGATGTATGAACCACAGCCCGGCTAATCAGACCCTAAATGTCCAAAGCCTTCTTGAAGACAGCCTGGGGTCTACTGGTACTCCCCCTTGCGTATGCTGGTAGGCAGTTGAACAGTCAACTAACACCCAGGTACCTACTTGCTTGCTGGTGAATGGGACAATAAGTGTAAGGAAACATGCCCAATGTTTCCACTCGTGCCAGGGATCAAACCACTGACACTGTGTAAAGTGAGAACGTTACCTACCAGGCCTTCCTATAAGATTATTACTGTAATCACGGGGAAGCACTAAACCTGTAGGATTATACAGTGCCTGTCTGGAGAGATGGAAGGTATTCAGGCTTAATTCAGGGTACCGGAGCACAGATCCAATTCCCTAGATCAAGAGCCCTCGCCAGCATCAAGGAACCTCCCTTGAGGGGCCTTGCTGTAAGATACAGCAGAAATCAGTCATGATTATAACTTAAAAATTCAAACAGTTACATAACTGTGAAAATCAGCTACAGTAAAAGGAGGAGTAACAGGAATAAAGTGAACAGAGTTATTTCATAAACATTAAATAGAGAGGAACAGCTTACAACAACTGGCACATGAATGTTAACTGTACATGAAATCACTCCTCCCTTTCTCTATTATCATTATTATAGAGGGGGGGTGCTAAACCCATAGGGATTACAGTCTGTAGGCAGGGTATGGAAGGCATTCAGGCAAGTGGAGCAGAGATTCAATTCCTTAGATCAAGAGCCCCTCACCAGTATCAAGGAACTTCCCATGAGGCACTCTTTCTGTAGCTTGTTTACCATAGTGTACACCACACCCATGGGGAGTGTAGTGTACACCACACCCATGAGGAGTGTAGTGTACACCACACCCATGGTGAGTAGTGTACACCACACCCATGGTGAGTGTAGTGTACACCACACCCATGGTGAATGTAGTGTACACCACACCCATGGTGAGTGTAGTGTACACTACACTCATGGTGAGTGTAGTGTACACCACACCCATGGTGAGTGTAGTGTACACCACACCCATGGTGAGTGTAGTGTACACCACACCCATGGTGTAGTGTACACCACACCCATGGTGAGTAGTGTACACCACACCCATGGTGAGTGTAGTGTACACCACACCCATGGTGTGTGTAGTGTACACCACACCCATGGTGTGTAGTGTACACCACACCCATGGTGAGTGTAGTGTACACCACCCATGTGTGTAGTGTACACCACACCCATGGTGAGTGTAGTGTACACTGCACCCATGGTGTGTAGTGTACACCACACCCATGTGTGTAGTGTACACCACACCCATGGTGAGTGTAGTGTACACCACACCCATGGTGTAGTGTACACCACACCCATGGTGTAGTGTACACCACACCCATGGTGAGTGTAGTGTACACCACACCCATGGTGTGTAGTGTACACCACACCCATGGTGAGTGTAGTGTACACCACACCCATTGTGGGTGTAGTGTACACCACACCCATGGTGAGTGTAGTGTACACCACACCCAGGGTGTGTAGTGTACACTACACCCATGGTGTGTACACCACACCCATGGTGTGCAGTGTACACCACACCCATGGTATGTGTAGTGTACACCACACCCATGGTGTGTGTAGTGTACACACCCATGGTGTGTAGTGTACACCACACCCATGGTGTGTAATGTACACCACACCCATGGTGTGTAATGTACACCACACCCATGGTGTGTAGTGTACACCAACTCATGGTGAATTAGTGTACACTACACCATGGTGTGAGTGTACACCTACACCATGGTGTAGTGTACACCTACAACCATGGTGTGTAGTTACACTACACACCATGGTGTACACTTCACACATGGGTCTGGGTACACACCAAGGTGTGGTGTACACTACACATGGTGTAGGTGTACACTACACACCATGGTGTGTAGTGTACACCTACACCATGGTGTGTTACACTACACACCATGGTGTGTAGTGTACACCTACACCATGGTGTGTAGTGTACACTACACTCACCATGGGTCTGGTGTACACCCACACCATGGTGTGGGTGTACACTACACACCATGGTGTGGGTGTGCACTACACACCATGGTGTGGGAGTACATTACAAACCATGGTGTGGGTGTACACTACACCGTGGTGTAGGTGTACATTACAAACCATGGTGTGGGAGTACACTACACACCGTGGTGTAGGTGTACATTACACACCATGGTGTGGGTGTACATTACACACCACGGTGTGGGTGTACATTACACACCACGGTGTGAGTGTACATTACACACCATGGTGTGGGTGTTCATTACACACCACGGTGTGAGTGTTACATTACACACCATGGTGTGGGTGTTCATTACACACCATGGTGTGGTGTACATTACACACCACGGTGTGACACCCCGTGTGGTGTACATTACACACCACGTCGTGAGTGTACATTACACACCATGGTGTGGGTGTACATTACACACCACGGTGTGGTGTACATTACACACCACGGTGTGGTGTACATTACACACCACGGTGTGGTGTACATTACACACCACGGTGTGGGTGTACATTACACACCATGGTGTGAGTGTACATTACACACCATGGTGTGGGTGTACATTACACACCATGGTGTGGGTGTACATTACACACCATGGTGTGTATCACTACGACAAGGTCCTTGATGCACTAGAAGACAAAAAGAATGCAGATGTAATATATACAGACTTTGCAAAAGCCTTCGACAAGTGTGACCATGGCGTAATAGCGCACAAAATGCGCGCTAAAGGAATAACAGGAAAAGTTGGTCGATGGATCTATAATTTCCTCACTAACAGAACACAGAGAGTAGTCGTCAACAGAGTAAAGTCCGAGGCAGCTACGGTGAAAAGCTCTGTTCCACAAGGCACAGTACTAGCTCCCATCTTGTTCCTCATCCTCATATCTGACATAGACAAGGATGTCAGCCACAGCACCGTGTCTTCCTTTGCAGATGACACCCGAATCTGCATGACAGTGTCTTCCATTGCAGACACTGCAAGGCTCCAGGCGGACATCAACCAAATCTTTCAATGGGCTGCAGAAAACAATATGAAGTTCTATGATGAGAAATTTCAATTACTCAGATATGGTAAACATGAGGAAATTAAATCTTCATCAGAGTACAAAACAAATTCCAGCCACACAATAGAGCGAAAAACTAACGCCAAAGACCTGAGAGTGATCATGTCGGAGGATTTCACCTTCAAGGACCATAACATTGTATCGATCGCATCTGCTAGAAAAATGACAGGATGGATAATGAGAACCTTCAAAACCAGGGATGCCAAGCCCATGATGACACTCTTCAGGTCACTTGTTCTATCTAGGCTGGAATATTGCTGCACACTAACAGCACCTTTCAAGGCAGGTGAAATTGCTGACCTAGAAAATGTACAGAGAACTTTCACAGCGCGCATAACGGAGATAAACACCTCAATTACTGGGAGCGCTTGAGGTTCCTGAACCTGTATTCCCTGGAACGCAGGAGGGAGAGATACATGATTATATACACCTGGAAAGTCCTAGAGGGACTAGTACCGAACTTGCACACGAAAATCACTCACAACGAAAGCAAAAGACTTGGCAGAAGATGCAACATCCCCCCAATGAAAAGCAGGGGTGTCACTAGCACGTTAAGAGACCATACAATAAGTGTCAGGGGCCCGAGACTGTTCAACTTCCTCCCAGCATACATAAGGGGGATTACCAATAGACCCCTGGCACTCTTCAAGCTGGCACTGGACAAACACCTAAAGTCGGTACCTGACCAGCCGGGCTGTGACTCGTACGTTGGATTGCGTGCAGCCAGCAGTAACAGCCTGGTTGATCAGGCTCTGATCCACCAGGAGGCCTAGTCACAGATCGGGCCGCTGGGGCGTTGACCCCCGGAACTCTCTCCAGGTAAACACCATGGTGTGGGTGTACACTACACACCATGGTGTGGGTGTACACTACACACCATGGTGTGGGTGTACACTAAAACACCGTGGTGTGGGTGTACACTACACACCATGGGGTGGGTGTAAATACACACCTGGTGTGGGTGTAACACTACCACCGTGGTGTGGGTGTACACTACACACCGTGGTGTGGGTGTACACAACACACCGTGGTGTGGGTGTACACTACACACCGTGGTGTGGGTGTACACTACACACCGTGGTGTGGGTGTACACTACACACCGTGGTGTGGGTGTACACTACACACCGTGGTGTGGGTGTACACTACACACCGTGGTGTGGGTGTACACTACACACCGTGGTGTGGGTGTACACTACACACCGTGGTGTGGGTGTACACTAACACCGTGGTGTGGGTGTACACTACACACCGTGTGTGGGTGTACACTACACACCGTGGTGTGGGTGTACACTACACACCGTGGTGTGGGTGTACACTACACAGACAAAATCATGGACTGACCAGTCTAGTTCTAATAAGTAAACAAGTTACAGCGGTAATAAAATATTTACATGTTTTTATTTGGTTTCAGTCATAATGAATTATTTATGCAGATATGAATTACGTCACAAAAAATATTACCTTATATTTTAGCAAGGTATGTCCATAATAAAAATAAAAATAAAATGTTTAAAATTGGTATGCGTTGTTTACAGTGGACAAAGTTTGAATATTTTTTCCAAAATGGTTGGTAATATGTCAATGTGGATGACATACTCTGATATTCCTAGAATATTTTTTTAATGAGTTACCTCGGACTTCATTAATTTTATCGCGTTCCAGCACATACACTACACACCATGGTGTGGGTGTACACTACACACCGTGGTGTGGGCGTACACTACACACCGTGGTGTGGGCGTACACTACACACCGTGGTGTGGGTGTACACTACACACCATGGTGTGGGTGTACACTACACACCGTGGTGTGGGGTACACTACACACCGTGGTGTGGGTGTACACAACACACCGTGGTGTGGGTGTACACAACACACCGTGGTGTGGGTGTACACTACACACCGTGGTGTGGGTGTACACTACACACCGTGGTGTGGGTGTACACTACACACCGTGGTGTGGGTGTACACTACACACCGTGGTGTGGGTGTACACAACACACCGTGGTGTGGGTGTACACTACACACCGTGGTGTGGGTGTAACAACACACCGTGGTGTGGGTGTACATTACACACCATGGTGTGGGTGTACACTACACACCATGGTGTGGGTGTACACTACACACCGTGGTGTGGGTGTACACTAACACACCTGGTGTGGGTGTACACTACACACCGTGGTGTGGGTGTACACTACACACCGTGGTGTGGGTGTACACTACACACCGTGGTGTGGGTGTACACTACACACCGTGGTGTGGGTGTACACACACACCTGGTGTGGGTGTACACTACACACCGTGGTGTGGGTGTACACTACACACCTGGTGTGGGTGTACACTACACACCGTGGTGTGGGTGTACACTACACACCGTGGTGTGGGTGTACACAACACACCGTGATGTGGGTGTACACTACACACCATGGTGTGGGTGTACACTACACACCGTGGTGTGGGTGTACACTACACACCGTGGTGTGGGTGTACACTACACACCGTGGTGTGGGTGTACACTACACACATTGCTACAGCACATTGCTAAACTCACAAACTAGTATTTAGTCACTTAGCCAAAGGACCCCAATGGAAATAAGTCACTCTGTGACTTTTTTGGGTTATCCTAGGTTCTCTACACACATGCTGCTATGTATGATAATTCTATGTAACTGTATTTGTGTATACCTGAATAAACTTACTTACTTACTAGCCATAATACCAACTTACCTCATAATTTGTAATATTTTAAAATAAAGAATTAAACTAAGTCTGCCCGAAATGCCTAGCCATGCTAGGCGTTCTAGTGGTAC